GTACTGTTTTATGGGGACTATCCCTAAAAGTATACCTATTTATCTCATTTTTAATAATTAAGATGGAACAAAATTCAAAATTTTAGATTTGTTTAAGAACACGATTTTACAATTCTATGTGCAAATTTTTCATAATTTCATAAAACAGAAAATCAATGTTATTTGCATATTTGATGGAGGAAGGCACTACCACAGACTTGTATTTTTTTCTCACTCACCTCAAGTTAATCCACATTTATCATAGTAAAAGATTACCGGTACAATGAACTGTCAAACCAAACCAAAATTTGTAAAAATTGTTGAAAAACGCATATTATAATAACCTCCGATTGACGTCGTATGAGAAAACATATAAAAATCAATTTATAGTCTAAGGCTTGTTGACATAAACCCGCGACTTCAAAAAAAAGTCTGGAGCGGTCAAATCAGGCCAGTGCAAATTGCCAAAACGGAAGATAAGACGCCCGGGAAATGCCCTCTTCATCATATCGATTGTGGCACGTGCAGTGAAAACGAAAATAACGCAATAGCCGGTGTAATGGCTCTTCGTGGTTTACACGCGAATTTTTAATCCCCCAGAAGCATAAATTTTGTTTATTTACGTACCCGCTAAGATGGAAATGGGCCTCATCACTCATGATTTTTTAGATGAAAAATCAACTTCTTCTTGGTGGTGATTAAGGATGGATTGAGCGTATGTTAGACACGATTGATGATCATCAGCTAATAGCTGATTCAACATCTGGCCTTTGTACGGAACATCTTCACATCTTATACCAAAATTCGCCGCAAAAACCGTCGACTGATACCCATTTCGTAGCACGTTGCCTGGTCGATGTCACCGGCGTTTCCATGACATCCTCCGGAGTCTGCCATGCATGGCAGCATCTTTTGTTGTGCCAGTCTCTTCGAGGCGAGCGGCTAAACGTCGCAGTGTTTCACCAGTAGGCGTTGGCGCTCAGGAAATCTGCGACGAAATTCACGTAGTACCAAAGTTACCGACCGATTATTGGTCAAATAAATAGTCACCAATAGTCCGCGTTCTAGAGCAGTGTACCGTAAAATCTTTTATTAAGGTGTATTTCACATTTGTTCTGATAGGAGAATTACTTTTGCGCCACCTTGTATTATTCTATTTTGGCAAAATACATTCAAGAATATATAATATTAATGATCTGTAGCCGCTTCAAAAAAAAAAAAAAAAAAAACTGCAACAATGTCCACGCAAAGCATAAAAGGTATTGGCTCAATTTATGTTGGAGCATCTGTTGCGTAGGGTGGGCCATATTGGCTCAATTTATGTTGGAGCATCTGTTGCGTAGGGTGGGCCATCAGGGTGCCTGGCTTACCTGAAAATTGTATGAAAATTCAATGTAAAATTGTTTTTACATTTTTTAATAACTTTTTCGATAACTTACCCCATTAGCTATTTCTTTGAAAAGAGAAATAGCTCAGAGATCAGAATTGAAGAAAAAAATTGGATGTTGTTGAGCATCATTCGAAACGAAAAAGAAAATTACAAAGAGGAAATGGATGGCGTTGCCATAATATAAAAATGTAGGGATCGTTTAATCGATATTTGACTACGGTTTTATACAACCATGGCTTAGTAGCCATTTCGTAGCTACCCTATTGTCATCAAGAACGTCCATGAGAAATATTGGAAAAATAGAAAAAAAAATGATGGCTAAATGAAGCTAGTATAAAAGGGGAAATTCGAAAATTGGCAAATAGTTTTGCAAAATACCTAACTAAGAAGACGGTCAAAAAAGTTTTTAAAACTAAAAAACTGAATTTTTATGTGTGTGGACTTGTATATAAAAAGTTCCCCATAATAATATAACCATATATTTTTAATTCTCCACTGATTGTCTTTGGGTTTGAAATTGACAGTGTTTTTATTCAGTTTGGTGTCCGTGGTCGAGGTGGTGGAATTTGGTCAGAACGAATCGGCCACAAGAAGAAAATTTACTGATCGCAAGCTGTCCTGTGATAAAAGAATTAAGATTTTGCCTCTTAACCAACGATCAGGTAATAGATACCCTTTTACTTCATTTATGCGTTGTAGCAAGGAAGTCCACTAAAAAAGTAAAAAAATCGGAAAATAAGAAATTATTATCTAAAAATTCATTAATTTGCTAAACTATAAACATTTAACAGTTCCCTTTAAATTGTAGCTAGTACTATACAAGCGATTTTTTATTGTAATAACTTTTTATATAATCTGGTGTTCGATTGTCCGTGTTAAAAAGACAAAATTTATCTGTATATAGTCGTAAGTCACGTCTGTTAATAAATAATGTTGTGATTTGAATTAGAGTGAAAAGAAAATATGTGTTAAATTTTTGTTAATAGGGCAATTTTCTAACTAGGTAAACAAGTGAGTTGGGTCTTCAGAAAATTAATTAAAAAGGAACCCTGAAGACGATGAAAGGGTGGGAAAATGCGGGAGTAGAAACATCAAATCTCCCTTGTCTGAGCAGGTGTTGTGTTTGTGTAGTGTATTGTATTTGTAATGTGTAAAGTTCTAATTTCGTGTTCGTCCTGAGGTGTTACAAAGTTGACGGTTGAGAACCAGACCCAGAGGCCGCTAGCAGCCGGATGGTCACTTTTAACGCCGCCAATTAGGATTACGTAACACATCCAGACTTTTCAAATCTATGGATGTTAAAAACGCCATTAATTAAAAGCACTCACTTCAAAATAGAATCACATACTCAACTTCAGGCAATGCTAAAGGACAGCTTTTGTCATGTAAATTTTTCTGTATTATTGGTATTCATCTCCTTTTTACACATGTATTTTAACACACAAAAATAAAAAAATGTCTCAGAACCAGAAACTTATTTTAAAATTCTTATTTGCTTCCAATTTCTTATTACAATATGTTTACAGCAATGTAAAAAAAGTAGCAGACAAAATAAATTACGATCGAATACGGTGATCCAAAAATTTATAGTGATCGAAATGTTTCTCTATACGAAACAGATCTCGATGACGAATGCAGTGATTTGGCCCATGTATTCTTCTACCATGACATATATTCTTTGCCATGAGTACGTTTACACTATACTGGATTTAGAAAATGGAGAAACCCAAATGTAAACATGCTATAAGAGCTCAGAATATTATGCCAAAAGGTATATGTTAACAATCTCATATAAATATTGATACACATTGAGTATTGCTTTTGAATTTTTAATGAAGACCATTAATAATTCGCTATCTTTGTAAAAAATCTTTAACATTGCAACAAGCTAGAAATTGACACATTCATAAATGCAGTTCTCTTATAAACTTCGGCGTAAAAAGTTCATACTAATTCAATCAATCAAAAGCAAGTAAAATGCAAAAGTCATTTGCGTTAATAACTTGCACATCCTTACTTTGTCTGGCTTTGTCGTACAGTTTTGAAACCCATTTTTACAGCCGTAAACTTTTGTTGAAAGACATCGAAGATCCCCAAACTACTTTAATGGAATATGGTCAGGTGGCGTTGTACATGGTTATGCGTTACATTAGTCCACGTACCAACACCTTGATTATTATGGAACACTGTCTGCACAACTGTGATGACCATCGTCTCTATCACTCAACAGTTTTGAAATTTTTCCTAAATAATCTGAATTATTCAATGGCAACGCAATTGTATTTCGGCCAACCCGAGGAACGTCCATGGGATTATAATTTGTTTTTGGTGCCGACATGGAAGGAATTTGAGTTGAGTGTTTTAAGTATTTTTAAAAGACTAACAAGATACAAGTGCTTATTTATATGCTAAATCGCGAATTTTTAAAGAAAAAAGGACAAAAAGAATTAAAACGAAGACTAACTGAATTATAATCGTGGATATTTAAAGAATAATATTGTCAGTTATAAAAGCCATTGAGTTTGTAAATTTTCAAAGCGAAAAATTTCAAGGACCAAATGGTTACGATGATAACCGTAAATGTTTTTACCCTTCACCATACTTAGTATGGAGGGTATATTAAGTTAGGCATTCCGTTTGAAACTCATCGAAATAATAATTTTAGACCCGACAAAGTATATATATTCTTGATCAGCGTATAATTCTAAGACGATTTAGCTCTGCCCGTCCGTCTGTTGTAATCACGCTATAGTCAAAACGAATAAAGATGGGAAGCTAAAATTTTGCACAGATCTGTCTTTTGTCTGCAGGCAGATCAAGTTCGAAGACGGGCTATATCGGTCCACAATATCGTATAGCTCCCATATAACGGTACCCCCGATATTCAGTATTTTTCATATTTTTCAATTACATTGTCTGAAATTCTACACAAGGAATCCTTATTACTTTAGAGAGAATTGTATATATAGGTCCACGATATCTTATATCCCCCATATAACGGCACCTCACCATATTCGGTTTTTTAATGATTTTAGCCACATTTTCCAACAGGAAGTTCCTTGTGAGTAATTTATCTCTTAGAAGAGTATTGTCTATATAGCTCCACGAAATCGTATAGCCCCCATATATAGGTACCCTCCGATATTCGGTATTTTGATGATTTTAGCCACATTTTTTAATGGAATTGTCTTAAAATCATTACAACTGGTTTCTTCTGAGTACTTTAGCCCCAAGAAGGTTTGAATTGTCTAAATAGGTCCAAGTTTTAGTATACCGCCCATATAACGGTGCCCACAGATAGTTGGTATTTTGATGATTTTGCGACTTTAGTCACCGGAATTGTTTCAAATTTCGTATATAAAGTTCGGAACAATTACTACAGCTTATGACAGAAATTAATTATGCAGAACCACGTCTTCATATAGTCCCCATATAACAGTTTTCATTTGAGCGGTATTTTCCTATGGATTTTTTTGAAATTTTTCAAGTTTCCTCCAAATGGTGGAGGGTATAAAAAATTCGCCCAGGCCGAACTTAGCTACTTTTTTACTTGTTAAAGTATAATTGTTGATTTCTCTCTCTCCCTCTTTCTTTTCCTCTCTCCCCCCCTCCTTTCAGAGCTCTCCAAGTGAGCATACCGAAAACCTTGCACGACCGTGAGTATTTCTTCTTCATAGTGATCACCTGGTTTTGGCCATATCAGGACTTTTTCGATAATGACATGATGAAAATATTCGAAATTTGTCGCAAAATGAATGTCAAAAATGTTGTCATTATGACTAAGCCCTTAGTCGGAAAGGTCATTAGCTTCTATACATACTCTCTGTATAATGGCGATTATTGCAACACCGAATTGGCAATGAAGGAAATCAATCGTTACGAGAATGGCCGTTTTCAAAATGATTTTCTATTTCCCGATTTTATGAAGAATTTCCATGGCTGTAAATTGACAGTATGTGCACGTATCATACCACCTATGTTGACATTCAATGGTGATCGGAGTAATGAGAGTCATTTGAAGGAAATGCATCGTTTGGCCGGCATCGAGGGAGAAATTTTAAAATTGGTCGCCTCAACGATGGACATCAAATTGGAATATCGTTTTACACAGTCATATTTCAATCCGGGAAGAAATGACAGTTTTACGGGTTGTATAGCGGATGTAAGTAATATTGTATAATATTTTTCGGGGAATGGAAGCATTTTTGCATGGATTTAAAGAATCCATTTGACACAACAGGATTTTAGTACAGAGTTGCATTTTTACTAGTTCCTTTGATGGTTAACTACCTTTCTTGTTTGTGGCATGATTATTTTAATCGTTTCTGTGTTATAATTCATTTCTATTATTTCCCTTCATTTCAGCTCTATGAAAATCGTGCCGATATGGCCATTGGTGGTATGGGAGCCCTAATGCCGAACGGTCATTATTTCAGTGCTTCCTACACTCATCATACGTCGCCATATGTTTTTGTTGTACGTGGAGGACGACCATTCGGACCAATAACAAAATTGTTAAATCCGCTTCAGATGAATGTGTGGCAGGTGATTTTAGCTCAACTATTCATAATAATAATTTTCATTGCTTGGATTGAAAGACGTGGCTGGTGGACTTTACGCAATTTCATTTTGGGATCCCACAACAAATATTCGATACATAATTTATTTGTAACACTCTTGGGTAGTCCGCTACCCAACTATGCTGTGCCTAGGAGGAATTTTGCCCGCTTCATATTAGTTGCCTGGCTTTTGTGGACACTGGAACTGCGTAATTTCTATCAGGGTAAAATGTTTGATACATTGCGACAGGCCAAGCGTCAGCCCACACCCAAAACCATTCATGAACTCATCGATAAGGACTACACCTTGCTTTCGTCAATCTATCGCGACTATTTTCCGCATAATAAAACCATAATAATATCGAATACCGTAGAGCGCCTGCATGTCGTAAATAGCTTGGATATGCCATTCACAACAACCGAAGTGTTAGACTTCATGTCGTACTACAACATGATCAACTGGAAATCCTCCACTCTGACCTATGTGGATGAGGTCATCTATATGTATCACTGCGTTGTTTACTTTCCCAAGCATTCGATTTTATTGCCAAGTTTTAATCGAAAATTAAAGCTTTTATCTGATGCCGGCATTACCTCGTTTGTGGCTCGTCAGTACATTCATCCATATTATCGTAATTTGAAAGGTCAAATCAATACCGGAGAAGTTAAACAAATAACCCATAAACAATTGATTGGATTATACTATATTTATGTTGCCTTGAATGGAGTGGCTGTGATGGTTTTCATATTGGAATTGGGATGGAAGAAAATTGGAACATTGAAGCGAGTAATTCATCGTTTTAATAAAATAAAATGTTAAAAAGATATATATTTTTTTGCTTGGGATTGAAAATAAAAATGAAACAAAAAATAAAAACGTTTTAAATATTCACAACAAATATTGTCATAGAATGCTACAAAGGCCAGTTTTCACATCGTGTTAGTGCCATATGTGAAGTGATTTTTTCACATATTAAAATGAACACTATTGTATGTGGTGTCCGTTGCAATTTTCGAATTTTGAAAAAAGGAAAGTTGTGCTGAATTGTGCTCAATTGTGTCAACTTTTTTTTGAAATTCGAAAAAATTTCTGACATATTCGAAAAAGATTTTTTTTTGAAAAAAAATCTCAGAAATTAGCAATTTTCGAATTTCGAAAAATTTTAAGTTGTGCTGAGTTGTACTCGGTTTGTGCCCATTTGTGCCGTTAATTTTTTTTTTTTTTTTTTCGATATCTCTTACCAATTTCGAAAAAACGACAATTTCGAAAAATGCCGGAATTGCAATTCTCGAATTTCGAAAAATTAAGAGTTGTGCTTGATTTGTGCTAACTTGTGCCGTTTATGTTTTCTCAATACCTTTAACATTTTTCAAAATAAGACAATTTCAAAAAACAGTATTTTTTCAAAAAAATCGCTGTAATTGTTGTAAAAAATTCTAATATCGAGATGCGGTAAACTGTGCTGAGTTGTGTCATTTAGCACAATTTTTCGTCAATGCATTGGAAATTTGTATATCGTGGTATATCGATATCGTAGACCTATATAGACCAGCCCTGCTCAAAACCGTGTTCTAGAACATGAGTCGAAAAAAGAGATAATTTAAGAGAAAATTAAAATACAGTTTTTCGTTATATTTTACGATTGTTTTTAATTTTTTTTTAACATTAATGTTTGCCGAAATAATTTATAATAACAAATGGATAAAAAATATTTGTAAAAATAATGACTTAATAATGTTTTGTTCTTGATTTAAATAAGCAAAGAGAAATTTGACTGGAAAGAGATATTTTTTCTTGAGCACCACTGATATAGAAAATTCTCTACCAGAGAGTAAAGTACTCAGAAAACTAAACATTTGTTTTAGACAAAGTATCGCTACTACAACTTACTATCGACAAAATACTGATGAGATATCGATAAGCTATCTATGGAGAGAAAATATTTATCGCATTCTTTGGATACAAATTGTATTATGCTCTTAGGGCTTATATACACATAATGTTAGAATAATATGTAAATCCGCTTTTTCTAAATTTATGTTAAGCATTTGTATATCATAATACAATTTGTATCCAAAGAATGCGATAAATATTTTCTATCCATAGATAGCTTATCGATTTTGTCGATAGTAAGTTGTTGTAGCGATACTTTGTCTAAAACAAATGTTATGTTTTCGATTTTTGCCTTCAATGAACATTTTCATCTTTCGATTTTGTCGCAAAATATCGTTACTCGAAAGTCGACTTACGACATCGTACAATAAAAGTCGGTCGATAACTCACTGAGATGTCCTCTCTTAACGATAGCAATTCAAAAGTTCATCGATAAATCTTCAATAGATCATTTGTAGTGCGTCGATATGTTAATAGTTGATAGATCATCGATAGCATGACTCAAGCTCACTCACAAGTAGCTCGTCAGCAACTTAACGATATCTCGTCGATAGTTGATATATGTATCTTTTGTAGCTCAGTGATTGCACGATGAAACCTTATCGATAGCTCGTCACTGTGTCATCTAAAGGTCATAAATAGCACATCAATGCGTTGTTTATAACTTATTCGACGATATCTCAACGATAACTCGTAACTGGTTTGTCGACTGCTCATCGATAGCTTAACTATAGCTCGTCAATAAACCACCCACAGTTTGTTATTTGGAAGCTTGTCAATAGCTTCGATTATTAGCTCTTCGATAGGTTGTCATTAGCTTCTCGATATCTTATCGGCAACTATAACTTGTCCAACGATAACTCAGCAATGGAACGATAATAGATTAGCGATACATTATCAATAACTCCTAAATAGTGCATCTGTAGTTCGTAGTTCGTCAATATACCTCCATTCCACACAGATAGTTTTACTATAGCTCGTCCATAACTCACCCACATCTAGTTAATCGGTAGCTCGTCGATATCTTTTCCAAAGCTTCGGTTGCTACTTAATCATCGGTAGGCTATAACTAGTTCAAAGATAGCTCAGCGATGGCACTACAAAATAGACAAATTATATTTCATCGAAACAAAGTCGATAAGCTCGATGTCTCATCGATAATTCTTTGATATTACATCGGCAGTTTAATACCTTATCGATGGCTTATTTATATCAGTGGAAAGTTGACGATGGGTCGATACCTTGTCGCTTATTGATCGCTAACGCTTCGAAAGTTCTTTTATATTATATCGATAACTACATCAATATTTACCTATACCTTTCGTAGGCTCGTCAATATTTGATCGTTAGTTCATTGATGTTATATCGATAGCTCGTCGATAAGATATGTTTAATAGCGGATCGATACCTTAACTATAGCTCTTCAATAACTAATCCGGTATCGACAATTCATTGATAGTTCATCCATTATCCATCCACTCTCAGAACAACGAAAAAATATGTCCCATCCCTAACAAATGAGATCATTTATCGAAAAAATTAATTATGACATTTAAAAAATAAAAATAGAAAAATTTAATGAAATTTTAATTTTTTTTGGGGAGACTGAAAATTATGAATGAAAACTACAATATTGAATGGCGTATGTACATTCAAACGAAAGTAAATTTTGTTTTCTCTCTCATTCGAGGTACGCATTTTGTCCACGAGTTGAAATTTCCACAGAAAACTGCAAACAAAAGAGGCAATATTTTTAAAATTTATTGTATCGACAAAAAAATGTTTGACAAGTGCCTCTCCAGCAGAATTTCAAAATAGAAAAATACAAAAGTATGTTCAAAATGTCAACATTTACGCAAAAAGTTGAAAACGTGAATGAAAATAAAATTAATGATAAGAAAAACAATAATTTCTTCTATTCATATTAGTGAGAATATCATTTGTTTTCATATAAATTCCCATTAAAATCAACAAACAAAATATTTAAAAAATGAAATTATTCTACTATGGATTACGAATCGTGTCGTATGAACGGGTTAATTCGTGCACCTAATTCTGAGGGCGAACAACGTGATTGAAAGTGTAATGAGAACATAGCATTAGATAGTTCGTCTGAAGCCCATCTTAGCTGATTGGTAGTTTATCGATATTTTGTATATGACTGATCTATAGTTCTCCGATATCTCAATATTACCTTATCGATAATTCATTGTTAGCTTAGCAAAAAATGATCAGCTCGTCAACAGATTATCGGCAGCTAGTCGGTTGTCAATCGACCAGATCGATGATTCAGCTCGTTTTTAGTACACCGGTAACTTATTGATATCTCATTGACTACACGATTTTTAGGTCATCGATAGCTCAGCCATAGTTATTTGGTAATTGTTATCTAATCAATAGTGATATAGCTGACTAGTCATCGAATGCTTGTTGATATTTTATCGACAGCTCACCGATAACTAATCAATAGAAGGTCAATATTTTATTGATACTTCTTCATAATCGAATCGATAACTCCTACATAGACGAAAGTCGGATAACTCGTTGAGAGTTTATCGATAGCTTACGGAAACCTATAAATAATGTTTATAACTTTTCCATTTTTTATTGATAGCTTGTCGATTTTTCTTCGATAAATTATAGATAACTCACCGAAAGCTTATGGATAGCTCATCATTAGCTCTTGGACATCGATAGCTAGTTGATTTCAATATTTTCATGGTTTTTACTTCATCGTTACCTCGAGACCTTATCTATAGCTCAGGTATTGCGTACTGATATGCCATATATAGATTATCGATAGTTTACTGCTTATCGATACCACGACGAATGAACCGAAACCTTGCAGATTTCTTGATTATAGCTCGTTGGTCTATAGAATGTCGATACCTTGTTGATAGCACTTGTTACGACAGCTGATAGCACATCCATAGTTTACTCCATGGTAGAAGAATATAGGTAGACGCATCGACACAGCTGTTGCTACAGTGAACTGTCAAACCATGTTTGAAATTGAATATGTTGAATGAAAAATTATTTAAATTTGCAAAAATTGTTGAAAAACGCGGATTATAATAACCTCCGAATGACGTCGTATAAAAAACATATAAAAGTCTACTTTTATTTGAAAAACCTTTACAATTTTTTTAACATATTAATGCTTCCTAGCGTTGATGCATCTACCTGTATTCTTCTGCCATGGTTTACTCCTAATTCAGCGATAGCTTATTCTTGGCGAATCGATGAATCGAAGTGTTTTAATCAAATGCATAGAATTCATCTAATACCCACATATGCAACCTTCTATCTATTCGAGTCCCCTTCTTTCCAAAAAAAAACAATTTAATTTCTTAGTTAATATTTCTATTTTTCACATTTAACAACTACTTAATACAAACATTCGGCCACTTCGATGTCAGTTCTTTAACCTAAAATAGCACCCCCTCCACCAATGAGACCAGCTCCACCAAATGCACCAATACCGCCACTGGAATAATGAACCTTATAACGGCCACCACCAAAACCTCCACCAAGGCCATGTCCAAAACCACCAAATCCACCGAATCCACGACCTTTCAATGTATATGTCTCATGATAACGTTTGAAGCCGCCACCAAAACCAGCTCCACCAAATGCACCGCCAACACCAATGGGAGCCGCAACTACAGGGTATGTCTGGACAATAGGCACGGGAACTTGTTGCACTAACGTGGGATAATACGTTCCGTAAGCACTGGGACCAAAACCCGATGAAGCTGATGAGGCTGATGCAGTGGCCGTTGCTACACCACCACCACCCGCAGTAGCTGTGGCCACCGCACTGCTGCTACTGGCACCACCGCCATCCAATATTGGTGTTGACCACGAGGTATGTATTTGCAACAGAAGCAATAGTGGGGCAAAGTTTCGTAATCCCTTCATGTTCTGCTCCGTAATTTTTTCTCGTTGTAATCCAAAGCGTTTTCACTCTTCCTCTAATCGAATGGAATTTAACTGAATGTCTTCAATTGCCATAGGCTTCCATATATATTTATTCTGCAGTACTTAAATTTTCAATTATTTACACAATAGTTTAGCATAGAAGTTCCAACAAAAACTACATAATGCTATTGAGAATATTTGGAAGTATAAACTTGGCATTGGGGATTTTTTCGGCAGAAGAAAACAAAAACAGATGATAACTGTGGACGACACACATTACGCTGGTTTAGCAACAGTTCGTTGCCGAGGTGTCTTTCTCTCGTTAGATCGAAATCAATGTTCTGTGATTGAATTGTGCGCGATGTGAGCGCTGAAACGTTTTAACAGTTTTCTATTTTCGGGGTGATTCACAAGAAGCAACCTTTTCATGGCTAGACCAGCCAACTAGCGGAACAAGTAACCGGCATTTGTTTTTCTTTTGTTTATTAGGTGTTAATTTCTTAAATCGATGCAAATCGGACAGTGGTTTTGGGTAAATTCGAAAATACACCTCATACTATTTTTACGCTGCAAAAATACTTTAATAAGCAGTTCATTTGCTAAACCAAAACCAAAAGTTAGGTTTCTCTGACTTAATTTTCACTTTCAAGATATGAATTTTAAGAACATTTTTTGAATTTTTTTAACTACATCTTTTTTTAAAGGCGCAAATTAAGTTTTAATCAGAAAACATATTCTGCGAGCACATGATATAAATATAATTCTATAAACATTTAAGAACATTTTTCGTAAGTTAATAAGTTTCTTTACCCCCATTGGATGTCAGAGTTAGATATAAAATGACTTTTTCTCATTTATGTCTCGTATCTTTGATACCATACTATTAAAATCGAACATTTATACCTCAGTTTATGCGAAATCATAAATTCCGTAATCATCTCTGGTTTCTGATTGAGAAAATATTTAGATACAGCAGATTGTGTAGAATCGCTGACTTGTTTCGCAAGTTATGGCACGGATGTCAATTTCGCTTTTTATGAGCTTCATGGATATTCAAAAATGGTCCGATCTCTACCATCTTTATAACAGATCTAGTGTTGATAAAAATATAATGATGTGCCAAGTCTGAATGAGCGTTTTATGAGCTTCATGAATATTCAAAATTTTGACTCTTTGTTGGGAAGGTACCAGGAGGTGTGGACCAATATATTCCATATTCGCATCATACCTTAAGTTATCAAAAATTTTGTGATTTGGAGACAATCGGACTCTTAACTCATATTTTATAAGAGTTATAATTATTAAAAATTTGATGGAGTGGACCGATATTATCTTTTTCACACTTGACCTAGCACTGGTGCAAATATTAGGATTAGCAAAGTTGTAGCATAATCGCAGTAAAATATTTTTTGAACATTTCGATGTACGATCACCATAAAGAGTGGACCTATATTGCCAATCTCCGAAGTTGATCCAAGTTTGACAATAATAATACGATGTACCAAGTTTGTATCAAATCGGATAGTCCCTTCGAGAGTTATCGTGCGCACCAGCCAGACAGACGGACATCGCTAAATCCACAACAAATCTCTTGAAACGGATTTGGTCCAAAAAGACCTAGGGTCTAAAACCTTTATTTCGATGAGGCACGTTTTGACCGTCTCAAATGCTTTATACCCTCTCTAGCCATATGGCTGAGTAAACAGGAGCTCTGTTTGGCCGGGCCGAACTTTTAACGCCCTCCACCACTTGGGAAAAACTTGCAAAAAGTAAAAAAATTACTGCTGAAATATGCCGCAACACTTTTAAAAATTCTTAATATAAGGTGTCACACTTAAATATGGGGCTATACGAAAACGTGGACCTTTGTAGCCAATTATCTGCCAGAAAGGGTACTGCAATTTATGAACTCCAAAGACCAGTTTGAAGATAACTATGTTGGAAAATGTAGCTAAAATTATCAAGATACTGAATATGGGTTGGTATGTTATGTGGGAGCTATTCGAAGATATGGATATGTACAGGGTGAGATAAAAAGTCAAACGCCATAGTTTTTACATTTTTTTTTAAATTTTATTGAATAAAAGCAAAAACTGTATAAAATAGCATCAATTATACCCTACAACACTATGTGTTGGGGGTATTATAAGTTTGATTGGGCCAACATTTATCTAACACCTCGAAATATTGGTTTCCCATATAGGAAAGTATATATGGATCTTCCTAGTTCGCCGAGCTGAGTCGATCTAGCTATGTATGTCCGTCCGTCCGTCTGTCCATGTTAATTTGTAATCACTCTACAGGTCGCAATTATGGCCCGATCTTCACGAAATTTAGAATGGAGGTGGGGATTGGGTCAGAATAGAACCCTATTTCTTTTGGAGATGATCGCCAAATGTTTAGGGGTTGAAATGGACCAAATACTGAAAAAATGTCGAATTTTGCAGTAGCTATACAGGTCGCAATTATAGACCAATCGACGCGGAATTTCGCATGTAGCTAGAGTTTAGGCCTACCAATTTGGGTGGTCATCGGATAATATTTAGCGGGTAAAATAGACCATATATTTTGTATTGAAAAAATTCAAAATTTTTCATTAAACCGTGAATATTTTAAATCCTGGCGAAATCACGAAGCCATGACAAGGTTACTTCTGATCTTTACATTGATGTTAACATCCAACAAAACGAATATATAGCAAAATATGTGCTATATATATGTCTATCAAAGAAGATATGCTTGAAAAATCTCTTATATGTCGAGAACGCCTGAACTGATTTCGACAGTTCTCATTAATTCAGAATAGCCTCTTGGCAGGAAAGAAAAAGCGTCTAAAAAATCGCATAAAAATATCTCTAAAGATGAAAATATTGATTTTGTAAAATTTTCTCATATTTTTTCAATTTTGTCATATTTTTGGCATATTTTCATTTTGAATTAAACATTTGCTAATATTTCTACAGCTAAAAAACTAAGTAGTTAGGATATCAGGATATCATATACAGATCGCATTTATGGTCCGATCATTACGAAATTTAGCATGGAGATAAGATGAGGGTCAGAATAGATGCCTACTCTTTTTGGAGATGATCGCCATATATTTAGGGGTTGAAATGGACCAAAAAAACTGCAAAATTGTCAGCAGGTCTTAATTATCACCCGATCCTCACGCACATTTGAATGGGGGTTACCGAACATTACAAAAGCCAAGCAGTTTTGGATGGCCATCCAAAAATATTCAATTTGTGAAAGAGTTTGCCAACTTTTGTAGACAAAATACGAAAATGTCCATTCCAGTGACTTTTTGGAGAATTCACAAATACAGAAAAGACGCACTTCTGACTGTTTCGTTAACGCTGATTTCGTTGAAGAATATAGTCAAATGTCTGTATCTCATATAGATGCGTTTCAGTCAGAAGACCATTTACGTGCAACATCTTCCAATAAATTGGAAATGAGCAAATTAGTTGAAGTTGCTATTGTTCGAAAATTAGAGAACGAAACCTGATGGTTTTCTTTTATAATTTGTCACAATATCTTGTGGAATACTTTCGAGTATCTCGCCTATATAAACTGTATCGTTTATTATAGTGTTGTAGGGTATTCAATGGTCGGCCCCGCTCGACTGTAGCCTTTGCTTACTTGTTTTAGAATAAGTTTAGATTTGTTCGGCCAATGAAACCGTCACACGCTGCCCGAATGTTGTTCTGCGGTATTTTGGCCCCTTTCCTGAGAAGCGCTTGCACTTTTTCAATGGCTTTACCCCGAGCTTATTTTTCAATATTTACCGAATGGAATATTGCGATATATTCAGCTCAAAAGCCATTTTTCAGTCACTGCGACGCGAGTTTCGATCAAGTCGCTTCTTTACTGTTCGAACCATTTCTGTTGATGTTGCTGTTTTCTTCCGTCCTTTTCCTCGACGTCGGGCTACGCTACCAGTATCACGGTAAATGCTAGAGTGCTCTAACGATAGTGACTTGTAGTTTTGCAGCCAAATATAAAGAAATCATTTCTGTTATGTGTGCATTTGCTCGGCATACGATTAGGCCATCCGACTGTCACAGAGACTCCCAGGGCTAGGGATCTCAACCCGCCAATCGAATCCAACACACTAACATTGAAAGGGGACTTTACTACAATTGCTCTACTCTACGATATACAAAATAGGAGTCATCATACAGTCTATCACGCTTGAATTCCATCATAACTTTTTTTCTGGAAAATTCTCACCAAAATCCTTTTTTTTTTGTAAGCTGTCTGTCCTTAATCACACGAATAAAGAATAAAGATAGGGCGCATACCAGTCTTTTGTACGCAGGAAGGTTGAGTTCGAAGATGGGCTATATTCCATCATAACTTTTTTTCTGGAAAATTCTCACCAAAATCCTTTTTTTTTTGTAAGCTGTCTGTCCTTAATCACACGAATAAAGAATAAAGATAGGGCGCATACCAGTCTTTTGTACGCAGGAAGGTTGAGTTCGAAGATGGGCTATATCGGTCCCCGATATCGTGTATCCCCCGTATAACGGTACCCCCGATATTCGGTGTTCTGATGATTGTAAATGTAGATGATTCAAAGAAATTGTCTGAAAATCCACAAAAGGAGTTCCTTCTGAGTACTTTACCACCTGGAAGAGTATTGTCTATATAGGTCCCCGGTATCGTATATCCCCCATATAACGGCATCTCCCTCTAATCGGCATTTTGATGACTTAAACTAAATTTTTCAAGGGAATTGTCTAAAAATTCATACTAGAAAGAGCATTGTCTATATAGGTCCACGATATGGTATATCCCCCATATAACGGTACCTCCCGACATTCGGTATTTCGATGATTTTAGTCACATTTTTAAATGGCATTGTCTAAAATTCAACGCAAGGATTTCTCTATGAGTACTTTACCCCCTGAAAGAGAATTTCTTATAGAAGTCCACGATATCGTATAGCCCCCATACAAGGGTGCCCCCCGATATTCAGTATTTTGAGGGTTTTAGCCACATTTTTCAATAAAATAGTCTGAAAATCCCTTTAAGTACTTTATCACCTGGATGAGAATTATCTATGCTTTAGTATAGCATCCATATAACGCTACCCCAAGATATTCGGATACTTTACCCCCTGGAAGAGAATTGTCTATATACATTACAGACATTTTTCAACGGAATTGTTTGGAAAAAATGCACAAATAAATTTGAAGCTTCATTGTGTATCACATTGTAATTTATTGTTTATTAGTTTCAAATATTCATTTTCGATTTAAAACTTATTTTCCATATGCGCTGGCTTTGGCAAATGTTGCTCCACCATAACTGGAAGCTGAAGCACTTGCACCAACACCTCCACCACCATAGCCGCCTCCACCATAGCCTCCACCGCCATAACCACCATAACCGCCACCAACGTGGCCACCTCCATTCCAGCCTCCGCCGCCGTAACCACCTCCATTCCAACCGCCGCCGTAACCACCTCCATTCCAACCGCCGCCATGGCCACCGTAACCACTACCGCCCCAACCACCGCCGCCATAACCTCCGCCACCATAGCCTCCACCACCGTAGCCGCCTCCACCATAGCCGCCGCCACCACCACCACTAATGTAGTGCACATGAACTGGTACACAATAACCGGAACTGTGGCAATTACTGTTGGAGGAGGTGGTGGTGGTGGAGGCGGAGGCGGAGGCGGAGGCGGTGGTGGGGCAATGGGTTGCACTAGCCCAATTACAAGACCTCCCAAACCCCCAAAATGTCGGGCACGACGTACTCCGGAAAAGTCTTCTTTCACCTCGGCGGCATCAGGTTCCGAAGTAATGGCCGCTGCCAAAGACTCCTGACCGACTTCTTTCGTTGTCTCCTCACTGGGTCTGGCCCCAGCACCGAGTGCCATCACCATCAGTAAAATAAATTTTACTGATAGCATTTTTTTCCAATGATCGATGTTTCGTTTTCAATGACTTCTTGGGCCTTCGTAAAGATTTATGCTTAGAATGCAGTTTTGTTCCAGCTATTTATATACCATCGGAAATTCTGTATATTTTTCTGCAGGAAATCATTTAGAATGTTAATAAATATTGAGAGTATTTTTGAAATATTAATTTAGAAAATTAACACCTCTCTGTTTTTTTGAGGAGAAGGGAGTGAAAATGTTAAGCTTCATGATTTTGCTGTCGCTTTGAATGATGATGGAATGCTACTAAATGTCACTGTTACTGTTTAATTTTACTTAAATCTGGTTTGGCTAATATATTTTAATTTAATTATTATGTTTTGCAAATTTGCATGTATAGCTTTAAAATCATTTAAACATTTAGTTATTATCCAAGATATCCACATACCGGAAGCTTAAAAAATATAGAACTCGACAATGGATAAACCGATTTCTTGTATATAAACGTCGGATTTTACGTACATTTGCAAGGGACAAGACAATTGAGCTCATGTATTATTTTTCAATATTATAAATTTTGTGCAGAAATTTAAAAGACAAAGAAGTTTTCCAATAAAAAAATTAAACCCGTTATAAACTCTGTTTAAATCTCAAAATTAGCGAATACATCCGTTATATTGGAGTCTATACGAAGACTTTTGTCATAAACCATTACAAAATCGGGCCTACACAGACAATTTTCTGTCACAGGCTGTAGTATATATAGGAACTTCAAATATGAAATTTCAAACAATTTCGTGAATACTGTACCTAAAATCGTCTAAATACCGAATATAGTTAGGTACTGATATATGGGGTCTATACAAAGCCCTGGACCTGCATAGACAATTTTTTGTCATAGACTGTAATTTCCATTGGGACCTAGATAGGAAACTAAAATTTTGCACCGATCTGTCTTTTATCTGCTGGCAGGTCAAGTTCGAAGAGGGGCTATATTCTTCCACGATATCGTATAGACACCCCCCACCCCCATACAACAGTACCCCCCATATTCGGCATTTTGATGATTTTAACACATTTTTCAATGGAATTTTCTGAAAATCCACACAAAGATGTCCTTCAGAGTATTTTAGCCCCTGGAGGAGAAATAGGTCCACGATATCTTCTAATCCCACATATAACTCTACCTCCCAACATTCGGTATTTTGATAATTTTAGTCACACTTTTAAATGACATTGTCTGAAAATCCACACAAAGAGGTCCTCCTGAGTATTTTAGCCGCTGAAGGTGAAATAGGTCCACGATATCATATAACCTCCATATAAATTACCTCCCGACATTCGTTTTTTTTTTTTTATGATTTTATTCACATTTTTTAAATGACATTATTTAAAATTCTACACAGGGAGTTCTCTGTGAGTACTTTACCCCATGAAAGAGAATTTCCTATATAGGTTCACGATATCGTATAGCCCTCATACAATGGTGCCCCGATAATCGGTATTTTGATGATTTTAGCCACATTTTTTCAATAGAATAGTCGGAAAATCCCTTTAAATACTTTACCCCCTGGAAGATAATTGTCTATGTTTTAGTATAGCATCCATATAATGCTACCCCGAGATATTCGGTATATCCAGGATTTTCGCGACATTATTCAGGTTATGCAGGTCCACGTCTTAGTATAGCACCCATACAACCTCTATTTATCCGGTATTTGGATGATATTAGCGACATTGCTCAACGGAATTGTTTCAACTTTCGTAATTGTAGTTCGGAATCGATACTACAGCCTATGATAAAAAAATAATTATACGTTTTCGTATATCCCTCATATAACGGTTTTAATTTAAGTTGTATTTTTCGACGGATTTTTTTTTTTTTTTGAAATTATTTAAGATCCTTCGATCCGGCCGAATAAGTACTTTACCCCCTGGAAGAGAATTGTCTATGTTTGAGCATAGCATCCATATAATGCCACCCTGAGATATTCGGTATATCCAGGATTTTTGCGACATTATTCACCGGAATTACGTCAGATTTCGTATTTGAAGTTCGTTATGGGTACTAAAATCTATGAAGTAAAATTGTTTATGCAGGTCCACGTATTAGTATAGCCCCCATAGAACCTCTATTTATCCGGTATTTTGATGATATTAGCGACATTACTCAACGGAATTTTTTCAACTTTCGTAATTGTAGTTCGGAATCGATACTACAACCTGTGATAAAAAATACTTATACGTCTTCGTAAATCCCTCATATAACGGTTTTAATTTAAGTTGTATTTTTCGAACGATTTTTTTTTAAATTATTTAAGATCCTTCGATCCGGCCGAATTTGCTGGTTTTTTACTTGTTGAAACTCTCTTTGTACAGGTGTCACCGAATTTCAATTCATTTTATGAATTTTGTTTTAGTATGTCTTTCAAATGTCTGGCTTTTTATTACTAGGTCATTAAAATTAAGATTTCTTCTATTCTTTTAAATAAATCTTATTCAATTGTTTCTAAGTTATAATTTCATCCACATGTTATTGACATGACCATGCATGTTTTGTGGAAATCAATCATATTCTTTTGGGTTTTTTCAAGAATGTATAAAATAATGTGTTGAAATAAATAAACTTGATATTGAGAGGGGATTTCATTCATTCAATCGACTTGGGATGACGTCAAAACTTGTTTCATCTACCACAGCACAAAACTCAAGTTCAAGGCTTAATTAACAACTACAATTGCTGTTGAGTAATTGATCTCAATAACAACATAATTACACCGATTCCAAACCAATATTTATTTATTTATTTATTTATTTTTTTTTTTTTTGACAAATAGTAAATCAAAGCTTCAGTTAAAATTCAAAGCAATATCTTTAATTGAATTTGAAATCGTATATTATTGTGACACATAGATATCTTCTTTTTCAATTGTCGTTTGGAATGTGAAATCCAATGGGAAACAGTGTACCAAGTCATCATCATTATTATTATCTGTAAAGAATTATTATTATTTATTTTTTTTTTTTGATTTCTTCTTTGTCAAATTTCCGCTCCATGTCATTTATAGAAATAAAATCAAAGAAACTTCTCTAAACATAATTCTTAATATTCAACTCCACTACCCCAAGAAAATAATAATAAATACTCCCCCCACAATACACAAATAGTTTAGTTTGTTGATTAATTTTGGGCGAATAATATGTTTCGAAACCTTTTGAAATTACGTCTTACAGCCGTTGGCATATTAGCAGGATTGCTAATAATTTGCTGTAATTTAGCCATCATTCGAGCGGAAGAGGAAATAGCAGCCACAAATGTAGCCGCTTTGACACCGGAAGCATTGGCGGAGGAAGTGCAAGGACATGAAAATACTTCGGAGCGTAAAGTGAGGCAATTTGGTTATTACCCACCGCCGCCACCACCACCGCCATTTGGTAGACCATTTGGCCCATATTATCCACCACCACCACCTCCGCCACCATATTTTGGATATGGCGGTGGTTTCGGCAGGACCCGTGTAATAACACGTACCCGTACACGTTATGTCAATCGTTATGGAGGATTTGGCGGTTTCTATGGTTAATGGATTTTTAAGTGGAATTCTTTGGAGATATTGCGAACATTAAAAAACATTTGTTGGAAAATGATAAATAAAGTTGTGTTTTTATTTGAAAATCTACCATAAAGGAATAATAAATTTTGAAGCTGAAATGTGTACAAAAGGTATTTATCATAAAATAAGTGGAATATTGCTAGAGATAAGATCTAGATGCTGAAACTAAAGTCAGTTCTCTTTTAACCATCTGCTCTTACAGGAGAGAGAGAGAGTGAAAACATGGCCTGTAATAGGTTTAACGCTTGTGTCTTAAGTCTTTTGTTTGTACTATATATTTATAAATCCCCAGACGATATAAATTTGTCTAAAAATCACATTCGAAATAATGTTTCAGATAGTTAAAACTTTTTTACCTATCTTTCGATTTGATTGTCTCTACCAAGTATTTACCCTCCACAAATAGATTTATGGAGATTCGTACTTAAATGTTAGTTAGAGCTAATGCGCCAATTGAAAAGGTGTGCAAAAAATAGACGGTACTAAACCTATTGTCAGGTGTTTAATGAACAGTGGTAAGCACAGCCGAATTTGAATATCTTCATACCCTACACCACATAGTGGTAAGGGTATTATGTCTGTGTCCATTTGTTTGTAACATGGAGAAGAAAGCGAGATAGACCCATAATTACTTTTGAGGATCCTCATAGAATAAATTTCTGAGTCGATTTATGCATGTCAGTCAGACCGTCTGTCCATGTATTATTGTGAACAAAATGCAGGTCGCATTTATTATCCGATTGAGATGAAATTTTACAAACAATATTTTTTGGCCCAAGGACGAACCCTATTTAAATTGGTGAAATCAGATTTAGATATAGCTATAGGTCAATATCAGGCCAAATGTACTGAATTTTTGTACAACCCATATAGCTATAGTCCCTCACATTCGTTATATTCATTCGACTACAGTGATATTTGGTTCCAGATATCTTGTAGAGCTCGGAAATACCTTTGCCAAACTTGGCTAATTTTTGGATATAGATCCCATATACAGGGTGAGATGAAAAAACTGCAACCAACTTCAGACTGCTGTCATTTTATGCCACTCGTCCGACAGCTGTTAAAATTACTGCAGTGACAGCTCATTATATTGTTTACAAGCGTACAAAAGCATTTTGGTGAGAATTTTCCAGAAAAAAAGTTATTCGTGATGGAATTCAAGCGTGATAGTGTGATTTCTTTTTATTTGGCTGGAAAACCACAAGTGGCTATCGTTAGAGCACTCTAAAAGTAAAGAAGCGACTTGATCGAAACCGCATCTCAGTGTCCGAAAAATGGCTCGTGAGCTGAACATATCGCAATATTCCATTCGGCAAATATTGAAAAATGAGCTCGGGGTAAAGCCATTGAAATTCTAAAAAGTGCAAGAGTTTACACCGCAACAAAAAAGACTCAAAAGAGCTAAACAGTTGCTTCGCTTGGCCGAAAGTAATGAACTGCCGAATTTGGTTTTCTCCGATTAGAAAACATTCGTTGTCCATCAGTTTGTAAACAAACAAAATGATCGTGTTTACTTGCCAAAAATGTGCACCAGATCTCAAGCGCCGGCCATGGTGATGGTGTGGGCCGCCATAACAGCCGATAGTCGCTCTCCGCTCGTATTAATCGACCGTGGCATCAGAATAAATGCCGAATGTTATTGCGAAAATATTCAGGAGGGTGTATAAAAGCCTTGGGCACGCAAACATATTGGCCGCAGACCTTGGACATTCCAACAGGACTCAGCACCATAGCACTCAGCACGCGCCACCCAAGAATGGTTTTCAAAATGATATTCCTCGCTTCATTTCCAGCGCACAATGGCTACCAAAACTCCGGATACCAATCCGTTGGACTATTGTGTCTGGAGTATTTTGGAAAGCAAGGTTGGCACTAAAAAATACCAAAGTGTCGATGACCTCAAGCAAGCGCTTCGCCTGGAATGAGCCAAAATCCCACAGAGCAACATTCGGGCAGCGTGTGACGATTTCATTGGCCGTTTAGAGGCCATAATTCGTGCCAAAGGTAACCAATACGAATAAATTTAAACTTCTTCTAAAATTTGATGGTATTTCCGATATTTTTTGCTTTTATGCAATAAAATTAAAAAAAAATGTAAAAATTATGGCGTTTGACTTTGTTGCAGTTTTTTTTATTTCACCCTGTATGTAGCCCCCACATATATGTATCATCCGATTCGGCGTTTGTGATATTTGGTTCCAGATATCTTGTAGAGCTCGGAAATGCCTTTGCTAAATCTTATCGCGATTGCCTAAGATTTGGATATAGCTCCCATATATATCCTTAATCCGATTTCAGGTTTATTGCACAAATAATGGCTAATATCAGCCCAAATGGAGTGAATTTCTGGACATACGTTTCCATTTTGTGGAACTCGGCATATATATATTTTTTATACCCTCAGCCACGTGGCTAGAGAGGGTATATATCATTTTATAGGTCAAAACGTGCCCTATCGAAATAACAGTTTTATAGCCTAGATCTCTTTGGAACAAATCCATTTCAGGACATTTGTAGTCGATGGACAGACATCGTGTCCATCCGTCCATTTGTCTGTATGTCTGTCTGTCTGTCTGTCTGCCCGGCTGGTGTGCACGATTACCCACGAAGGGAGTATCCGATTTGGTCCAAATTTGGTACATCGTAATATTATTATCAAACTTAGATCGAGATCGCAGATGGACAATATCGGTTCACTCTTTCTGTTAATTCCCACTCAATAAGTCAAAATTTAAAGAAGAAAATATTTTACTGAACCCAAAGAGAATGGATTTCCAATTTTTCTCCAACTTTGCAAATTCTAATATTTGCATCAGTTCTAGGTCAGGCGACAAAATAAACAATAAATTCGTCAAGGACCTCCCCCACAAAGGGTCAACATTTTGAATAGTAATAACTCTTATAAAATGTAAAATAAATTACACAGATCTCAATATTTTTATTAACCCAAGGTCTTGTGTGAATATGGAACATATCGTTCCAATCCTTTTGATACCTCTCCCACAAAGAGTTAACATTTTGAATATCCATGAAGCTCAAAAAACGCGAAATTAACATCCGATTCCATTCAGACTTGGTATATCTCAATATCATCAACACAAGATCTGTTATAAAAATGGTAGAGATTTCTTTTCCTACCTGCCCATAGGTTTCAAGATTATGAAAAACAAAACGATCAAATTTCATATATACAAACATTTTTGCTAATACACAACAAATTTGTGCACGCCACTCACAAAGGGTCACAATACTTTTATATGTCATAACTTTCAAAACAAGTCAGTGATTCTTTACAACGTACTATAAATAAATATATCTCTCTTTGGCAGAAACCTGAGATGAATATGAAATTTATGATTTTCCATAAATTGGATATAAATGTTCGATTTTCTTGTAATATTGCCCATACCAAGACTTGTATATGTATAAGATGAATCATGAAAATGGAATACTTCGATCACCTATATCTTGTATCTCACGCACATGTTAACATTTTCTAATAATTATCACATATGTCATGCAAAGTGAAGGAAGTTACCAATGTAGTCCAAACCTGGAACATCGCAATATTTATATCATATTTATTTAGGTCCGTTTCTTCGGAACCTGCTCCATTGAGGGTCAACAAGTTGAATTATCATAACAGAAGTCAAAGTCAAAATATATTTTAATAACCGAACATTGGCATTTTAACTTGTTAATGTTCCCTTTAATTTCTTGTTAACAAATATTAACACTTTTGATGCACACACTATATTTTATGGTATCAGTTCTCAATGATCTCCGGCGGTTGTATAGTATCTTCATAAAATCGCCTATTCAATGCCCCATAATAATGGTATCTCGGCCGCTTTGTGGGTTTCGATTTAACAACATGGGTCTTATTCGACGTTACATGTTCCTGCGCCAATGGCTTGTTTGTTTTCTTTGTATTCGTCAACGTTATTGGTTTCTTCGGCCTGGTCCATTGTTTGAAAGTCGTCTCAGTTTTGTTACGCAAATCATTCACAATTTTCTTCACCTGATTCACGACACGATTAACAGGCGTTTGTTTATTCGCCGTAGCATTGTCTGTTTGAAAGGAGGTAAGTGATACTGTTTAAAATACTTTGATAGAATGACATTTTATTATTTTCTCCAACAACAACTTACAGAGAGGTGTAACATTTTCATCAATTTCTAAATTTGCATTGGATTTTGAGGCACCGCAGCCGGTAGTTACTAACCATGAGTAGAGTAGAATCCATACAACTGTTGCGCGTAACATTTCGATCCATTCTTTGGTAGGGAATTGGGTTTACCGCAGCAGTTTTAACTTGTATTTATAGAAAACAAAATCGATGCAAAATGAAATTTTGAAATGGTTTGAGAAATATTAAAAAAAAAGAAGAAAGCTTTCTCATCGCACAGTCTTTATAATGGAAGTCATTCATAAAATTCTCTTGATTATTTACACTTTTTGTTGTTAATAACAACTGACACTAGCTTACAAGAATGATAAATAACTATTTTTTGTAATGTTAGAATGAAAGTTTTTCAAATAAGAAGCTAATAAGACCTCTCAGGGAAGGCCATATCATTTTCATTTTTTCCTTGTTAAAATTTCCATGAATAGTTATTTGCAAAAATATATGCAATTGCGCCGAAATTGAAAAAATATCTCATGCGATAAAAATATGACAAAACATTACAGAAAGAGTAAAAAAGCAGTAAGTTCGGCCGGGCCGAACTGTGAATACCCTCCACCATTGAGAACAAATTTGGAAATTATCAAAAAAAAAAAAATAAAATCCGTTAAAAATAATGTTAAAATCTTAAAATAGACGTTGACCTGCATAGGCAACTTATGTCATAAGTCATTACAATATTAAATTTTTATACCCTACAACACTATGTGTTGAGGGTGTTATAAGTTTTATAGGGCCATAGTAAAATATATATGAATCTTCCTATCTCGCCGAGCTGAATCGATCTAGCTATGTATGTCCGTCCGTCTGTCCATGTTAATTTGCAATCACGCTGCAGGTCCGATCCTCACGAAATTCGGCATGGAGGTAGGGTTATGGTCAGAATAGATCCCTATTGCTTTTGGAGATGATCGTATAATATTTAGGGGTTGAAATTGACTAAAAACTGAACAATTTCCTGATTTTGCAGTTCCTCTACAGGTCGCAATTATAAACCAAGCGACGCGGAAGTTAGCATGAGGCTAGAGCTTAGGGCTGTGCAGAACTCTTCCAATTTGGATGGTCATCGGATAATATTTGGTGGGTGAAATAGACCATAAAATTTGTGTTAATTAAAAATCACATTTTCCATAAAATTTTTAATATTTTCAAATTTTTCCCGCGAAATCACAAATAGACGAAAAGGTCAATTCTGACCGTTATGTTGATGCCGATAGTAAATATATGGGATATATAGCGAAATATATACAATGTGTATATACAAAGGAAGGGGATGTTAGTTAGAATGCTTATATATCAAGAATGGCTTGGGCGATTTTGACAAATTTTGTCAATTCAGAATGCCTTCTTGGCATAAAAGAATAAAAAAAAAAAAAGCAAACCGCATAAACAGATACCAATAACGATGTTAATAAAGATGTTGTAGACTTTTGTGATATTTTTTTATTTTACATTTTTTTATCGCATGCGATTTTTTTCAATTTGAGTTATAATACTGGAGTGTATATTTTGTAATGTTTTTTCACCTTACAACACCTTATATAGTCCTCAGGAAAATTTTCATAAGGGTAGGGTTAGGCTCAGAAGGGCTAGGCCCATTGTTTTTAAAGATGTCCGCAATATATTTAGAGGTTGAAATGGACCAACAACTAAAAATGTTCTTGATTTTGCAGCCGTTATAAAAGTCACAAATAGAAAGCGACAGCAAGAAAGCAACGAAATCTCACATGAAGTTAGAGTTTAGGACAGCGCGTAGAATGGACCACTACTTTCGTGTGAAAAAATACCAACATTTCCATTCTACCAAAACGCTGAAAATAACTTACAGGCGAAATCCAAAATACTTAAATGGCGAACTTCTGGCTTTTTATGCTGATTTCGTTGGCGAATATAGCCAAATATCGTAGACAAGCAAATCATATAGATGAGTCTTAATTTGGAGATACAGAGGGACTTCTTGTATTTGGAGATGACCGCAAAATATTATTTTTATTTTCCTGATCACATAATTGAAACCAATCGACACGGAATTTTGCATGAGAATAGAGTTTAGGACAGGGAAGAAGTCTAGCATTTTGGATTACTATTATATTATATTTAGCTTTAAAATGGCCCACAACTTTCTTGTAAGATTGTTTTGAATATTAGCAACACAACGGAGTACGTAAAGGGTAACATCTGGGCAGTGCTTTATGACATAATTTCAAAAGTAAAATCTTCCAAAATGGATTTGGACAAAAGGGAGCTTCTACTATATTGTAGTGTTGTAGGGTATGACATGGTCGGCCCGCGCGTCTGTAACCTTTGCTTACTTTTGTCATAATCCATTACAATATTACAATATTCAAACACGAAAAAAAATCCGGTGATAATTGTAGCTAAAATTATCAAAATACCGAATATAGGGAGATACCGTTATATCGGGGCTATACGAAGACCTGAACCTGCAGAGACAATTTTCTATCACGGACTGTAGTACCTATTAGGAACTTCAAATTTCAAACAATTTCGGTGATTATTGTACCTAAAATCGTCAAAATAAAGAATACAGTCAATTTTCTGTCATAGACTCTAGTTCCCATAAACGGAGAAAACCAAATTCGGCAGTTCACCATTTTCGGCCAAGGAAGCAACTCTTTGGCTCTTTTGAGTCTATTTTCTTTTAGTTTCGGTGTAAGTATTGCACTTTTGAAATTGCAATGGCTTTACACCGAATGTAATATTGTGATATGTTCAGCTCACGAGCCATTTTTCGGGCACTACGACGCGAACTTCGATCATGTCGCTTCTTTACTTTTCGAACCATGTCTGCTGATGTTGCTGTTTTCTTCCGTCCACCTTCTTGACGTCGGGCTACTCTACCAGTATTACGGTAACGAGCGATGGTACGAGACACATTTAAATGCTAGAGTGCTCTATCGATAGCCACTTGTGGTTTTCCAGCCAAATATATAGAAATCACACTATCACGCTTTAATTCCATCACGAATAACTTTTTTTCTGGAAAATTCTCATCAAAATGCTTTTGTACGCTTGTAAACAATGTAATGAGATGTCACTGCAATAATTTTAACAGCTGTCGGACGAGTGGCTTAGAATTGACAGCAGTCTGAAGTTGGTTGCAGTTTTTTCATACATTTCCAAAATTACATCTATATCTCAATTCCAGATACAAACAGAGACCTCAATATCAAATTTCGGGACTTCAGCCCAATAACCAGTACACAATTTATTACCACTTAGTATTTTTCAAGCAATTACAATTCACATTTCCAAAACCACCTCCATATCCTAACTACAGACACCAACCGTTACATCTACATCAAATTTCAGGATTTCAGCTATATTCTTTCACCCAATACCAAACATAGAACTTTTCGCACAGTTATAGTACACATTTCCGAACCACCTCTACATCTCAATTCCAAATACCAACTGACCCCTTATCCAGCACTAAATTTAGAATAATTTAGTAATTTTTGTACAATTATAGTACACATTTCAAAACCTCTTCCATTCATAATTCCAGGTACGAAAATATACTGACAAAGACCTCGAATTAAATTTGAGGATTCCAGCCCTATCCCTCCACCAATACAATACAATTAGTACTTTTCGTACAATTTTAGTACACATTTCCAAACCCATATTTAATTCCAGATAGCAACGAGACTTCAATAATAAACTTAAGGATTCCAACCCATTCCCTTCACCAAGCATCAAATTTAGTAAAATTTAGTAATTTTTGTACAATTACAGTACACATTTATATATACCACAGACACCAACAGTGGCATTTATATCGGATTTTAACTATATTCCTTCCCCATATTAATTAGCATTAAGTACATTTCGAACAAATATAGAACCCATTTCCAAACCGCCACCTAATCTCAAACACAGATACTATCACCTAATATTAAATTATACCAAATATAGTACCATTTAAACTGTTCGTGCACTTGTAGTACACATTTCACAAACCTACCACCATACAAAATTTCAAAATACCAGTTTCATCCGTTCGCCCTAAACCAAATTGTTTTAAATTTAGTACCATTTAGTACAGTTCGCACACTTGGTATACATTTCGAAAACAACCTTCAAAAATCAAACTTACTTTCCAACCTAGATTATCATACCAAATCGCATATACTAAATGGTACCATTTAAAAAGTTTAGTACTATTTATGAAATTTTCGTGACCTCTGTCGAATACAAAGTATTCCATTTTTAGTACATTTAGGTACTATTTCAAAAACCGCGCCTTATCACACACCTACGCTGGCCCTCGTGCAACATTTCTAAATCAGTTATTTTAACGTAGTGTTCTTAAAACTCATTGTCCTTCAGGGTATCAAGTTATCGCCATAAATTGTACATTTTTATTAATTTTTCCTTGATTACAAAAACAAAATAACTTAACTACTATTAAAAAAAATAAAACTAAAGAAATTGGATTATTAACTTAATTGGTAAATAGGAAACAGCTTGCTTTGTTCAATGTTAGAACACGTTTTAATCTATCCGAACCATTTGCCAAAGAATGGTTTGAAGCCGTGCAAACCTAAGCCATGGAGACCCAAACCATGTAAACCCAATCCACCCAATCCACCGAAGCCACCTTTGAAACCGAAGTTCAAGCCACCAAATTTACCAAAACCTAAACCACGGGCACTGCGCACCACAGAATCATCATCACTGGCTGCAGATTGTTCAGTGGCAGGTTCAACATCCAATAGAGATACGGGGACAACAGCTACTTGAGGATTTGTTTCGTCTTGAATTATGGCTGGTAATGGAACGGCAACTTGATAGGCGTGTTCGGTGTTTTCTTGATTTTCATGTTCAATTACAGCGGGAATGGGCACGGCAACTTGGAAACCCGAATTATTTTGTTGTTCCTGCTCTTGAGTTTCAGGTTTTGCACTCTCCACAGGGATTCCGTAAATATTACCCGCCAGGCAGCCAATCACAACTAATGTCACTATTACTGAATTCATATCGTGTGTGTTTCTTTTCCGATCCACTGAATCTATACTGACTTGACATCGAGAGGGTATTGACATTTTATACGCCAGATTTAGCAGCAATCCGAAAAATACTTAGAG